GAAATCGACGCTCGTCGACGCCAGCACGCTAAATCGGCGCTGCCTTCTCATCGAACCCCAGACGTCAATCGACGCGAATCGACGGCGAAGACGGAATTGAGGCACACCAGGCTCCCAGGACTTGCTCCCGAAGACATCTCCTGCCCCCAACCATGATACCCAAGCACACACTCGGGCCGAACGAAAGGAGGGGATAGGGACAGGGGGGGTTACGAAATCTGCTGCATGCAGCTGGTGTCGACCCCGCCGCCGGGCCCATTCCTCGATACATGGCCACCTCCGGCGCCGGGAGGCGCCGAGAAAATCAGCGACGTGAGCTGATTCTCAAGCCCCCCCTTTGCTCCTCCCTTTCGCCCAGCCCGACACACACGCACACACACACACAACAACAACAACAACAACAACAACAACAACAACAACAACAACAACAACAACAACAATAACAACAACAACCACGACGACGACGACGACGACGACGACGACAACAACAGCAACAACAACAACAACCAGAAACAACAACAACAACAACAACAACAACAACAACAACAACAACAACAACAATCACAACAACAACAACAACAGCAACAACAACAACAACTACTACAACAACAACAGCAGCAGCAACAACACCAACAACAACAGCAACAACAACAGCAGCAGCAACAACAACAACAACAACAATCACAACAACAACAACAACAACACCGACAACAACAACAACAACACCAACAACAACAACAACAACAACAACAACAACACAAACAACAACAACAACAACAACAACAACAACAATCATTTTACCCGAACGCTCAGTGTTCTCACCAGTGCCAGGGTTTTCATGCGACGCGAGACAATACCCCCACTTCGTGGGGGGGCAGTTCAAGCTCTACCAAATATCCAAACGACTCTTCGCGACCACCCAAACCCAGCTTCCCGCCCTATGACGTTGGGACACTTCACTTCGTGGCGTGCGGACGACCGTGGCTACTACACTGGCGTGGGGTACACACCCACAGAACTTGGTCACTTATTCGGGGCGCGCGTGTGCCCAGCATCCTGCAATTGTGACATACAATACATGACACAGACAGACAGAGAGAGAGACAGAGAGCAGACAGAGAGAGAGACAGAGAGAGCGGAGTTGGTCACATTTTTGGGGCAAGTTCCTGAGATCGTCGTGTTTTTTGTTGGTCTTGCGCGCGCGAATGTCCACTTTACTTTTTTTTGCAAGGGAGTATTGAAATTTGATTATGTTAGAACAAGAAAAAGTAGCTCGCGCGAGCTCATGTAACATAAATGTTGAAAAACCATTGGTTTTGTGGGAGTCGGACAGCGCGCGCGGGATGAAATTTGGACATTTTTTTTTGAAAAACCATTGGGTTTTTGATGTTTTTATGTTGAAATCGTTACGAAACCTAAGGTTCTGGAAGGATTTCGTCTTGCGCGCGCGAATGTCCACTTTACCTTATTTTTTGCAAGGGATTATTGAAATTTGATTATGTTAGAACAAGAAAAAGTAGCTCGCGCGAGCTCATGTAACATAAATGTTGAAAAACCATTGGTTTTGTGGGATTCGGACAGCGCGCGCGGAAGGACATTTTGACAATTTTTTCTTAAAAAACCATTGGGTTTTTGATGTTTTTATGTTAAAATCGTACGAAACCTAAGGTTTTGGAAGGATTTCGTCTTGCGCGCACGAATGTCCACTTTACCTTATTTTTTGCAAGGGATTCTTGCAATTTGATCAAGTAAGAACAAGAATTTTCATTTTATAGTGTTTTTTGCAAGGGAAAACGGATTACAACAAAACAACCGGATCCGGACACAATCCACTTTTCTGAAGCTTTCGCTAGAAAATGAAGGAAATGAGGCTGCGGCCTAGGTTTTGGAGGGGGGTCGCGCACCAGGGGTCTCAACAATAATATTTCTTTAGAAGTAATAATATTCAACAACAACAACAACAACAACAATCACAACAACAACAACAGCAACAACAACAACAACTACTACAACAACAACAGCAGCAGCAACAACACCAACAACAACAGCAACAACAACAGCAGCAGCAACAACAACAACAACAACAATCACAACAACAACAACAACAACAACACCGACAACAACAACAACAACAACACCAACAACAACAACAACAACAACACAAACAACAACAACAACAACAACAACAACAACAACAACAACAACAACAACAACAGCAAACTGTGCACGCCGCAGCGCGGCAGACGCCATGCGCGCACGCGCGCGCGCACGGGGGTCGGGCCCACGGCACGCACTGCCCCGCTGCCAGAAAGGGGGGGGGGGGGGAAGGAGGGAGGAGGGCGGCCGCGGAGAGCGGGAAGCAGAGGACACTTAGGGCACTCACACACACACACACACACACACACACACACACACACACACGCTCCACACACACACACACACACACACACACACACACGCTCCACACACACACACACACACACACACACACACTCACACACGCACACACACACACACACACACACACACACACACACACACGCCCCACACACACGACGCGCCCCACACACGCGCGCGCACGCCCCTCGTCCGTACCCCCCTCTTGGCGCCACTCCCCTCGCAGCCTCCGCCTAGACGCAGGATGCAGTCAGAATCACGACGCGACGTCGTGCAGGCATCGCGACCAGAACTCTCGACACCATCTTTTACATCGGTGTTCGAGCGGGGTCTGTCCGTGAGGATCCTGGGGACCGAGACCGGGGGGGACATCTATCGAAGAGTTTTTTGCCCACGACGCCCAGTAAATAGGCAGACTGGTCGTCGCGGCATCTGACTTGTCACTGTCGTTGCCACCTTGCCTCTCCCGCAACTGCTTCCGCAACTCAGAGGGCTGTTCCTCCAAGGCCGTCTGCCGCTGGGAAGATATCTGTGCAGATCTCTCAGCACGAACTCTTGGCGGCGGAGCCCCATTGAATACGCTTCCCTTGGGCAGTCCACACTGCAAGCACCACATGTGATCTTCCTTGTTGATCACGTGCCAGGCTGTGCATGCGTACATCATGTGCAGCACCATGGCTCAGCAACTGCACACCGCTGCTGCTTGGCACCGCCCATTGGAAAGAGAGGGCGACCCACGCGAGGTAGCGCAGGGCCGCCGTGTGGGAGGGAATCGCCGTGCGGAGCAGCACGGCAGGAGAACGAATGCCAGACTGAACAGTCTGGCCTGCCGCGGATCAGCGGTGCCCACTTTCGCTTCGCCAGGAACCAGAAGCCTTGAGCCAAAGTGGCCACGGACTGGGGAGTGCGGAGGAGGAAGGTGGCGGACGCAGGAGCAGGGAGGAGGGAGGAGGGGGGAAGACCAGGGAGGGAGAACGAAGAGGAAGACGCGGAAGGAGAGAACGGCCTGCTCACCGCCAGTCTGTGCGTGAGCTGCTGTCGTCGTGGTCGGCGTCGTGCCTCGTCGTGGCCGCCGCCGCCGCCGTCGTGCCCAAACGTCCACTCGGGCTCGCCCCCGCACCCAGGCCGGCGGCAGGACACTCGCAGCGGGACGTGCCAGGAGAGGGGATGCACACGCAGTCGGGCTGCTGAAAGAAGGAACGATGAGCAAGGAAGGAAGGCCCTCTTTGGCCCCACCAAGCGCCTGCGCGCACGAGAAGGGCTAGAGGAAAAGCCATAGCGGGACCTAGGGAACATCGAGCCCCGTTCTTACCCGAAGTGTTCCTCATTTCAGCGGCTTGGCTGTATCGGGATCTCCGCGTCGAGTAATTCTGGCTACATCCTTGGTCCGGACGGCCGCGGTCCATCGTTAGAAAATACACTTCGGTGCACGCGGCCGTGCTCTCACCCCCCTGTCCCGCCTGTCAACGTGCACAGGACTCCCTAGAAATGCACAGGACGCTCTGAGCAGAGATGTGCACAAGCACAACTTCTCGGAGGTCTGCGCAGACTTCTTGGATCTGCGCTGGACCCCCCTCCCCTTGCGTGCGGAGCGCGCCTGGGGAGAGCAAAAGGTACCGATACCGCTACTCCCTGGACCTCTCCCGGGGTGCGTTCTGACCAGAACTTCGAGGCGAATCCAGCGGTGGCGACGAGGACCGCCGAGGAGGCCCAAAAAGAAGAAAACGGAGGGAGGG